TAGATATAAGCACTAAGAAAATGACCTCACAGAATAAGTTGACCGAATATAGTCAGATCTTTAGAGACTGGCTGACTGAAGGCCTCATTGAAAGAGTCGAGGAAAATCCTCTCGAGAGAAGAGGCTACTATTTACCTCACCGCACTGTGTACAAGATGGAATCTAAAACGACGCCCATACGTCCGGTTTTCGATGCTTCTTGTCTAGGTCATAATGGACTATCTTTGAATCAATGTTTAGAAAAGGGACCGAATTTATTGGAAAGAATCCCTGAAATGATGATAAGATTTCGGGAAAATAAATTTGGAGTCACGGCAGATATAAGAAAAGCATTCCAGATGGTGGCGATTGAAGAATCTGAACGGAACTACCTTAGATTCCTTTGGTGGGAAAAGGAGAGCGATAGAGAACTAATAGCTTACAGGCATAAGAGACTTGTATTTGGCTTAAACTGTAGTCCTTTTGTGTTGAACGCCGTAATAGAATACCATCTTCAATCAATAAGGGGCCCACTTGTTCAATGGGCAAATATTTTAGCTCAATCCTTCTACATGGACAATTGTATTACCTCGCTGGAAACAAAGCAGGAAGTGCAGGAATTTCAAAAGGCCGCAATTGAAATTATGGACAGGGCTAAAATGGACTTACGAGAGTGGGAATATTCTCTGGAGGAAAACCCTGAAAAGGGGACTTGTACAAAAATATTGGGTGTTGTCTGGAATAAAATGGAAGATTCATTAAAATGCGAACTTCCTGACAATTTGAGTCTTCAACCCAAATTAACGAAAAGGTTGGTACTATCCATGGTTCAGCGGATATTTGATCCACTTGGATTTTGCGCTCCAGTATTCTTGCCACCAAAGTTGTTACTGCAGCGATCATGGGGGCTGAAACTAGGTTGGGATACACCTCTACCCGAAAGTATGGCCCAGGAATTTCGAACCTGGATGGATCAAATAAAATTAATAGAGTTAATAAAGATACCGAGATATATGTGGAATGATCTCATTTTCCCTACAGAAGTTCATATCTTTTGTGACGCTAGTCAAATAGGCTATGGAGCTGTAGCCTATTTAAGGAGCGAAACGGGACGAGAAAATACTCTAACTTTGATTTGGAGCAAAGTCAGATTAGCTCCTATGAAGAGTATTACGATCCCTCGCTTGGAATTAATGGCCATGGTACTAGGAGCTAGACTAGCCAATGCAATCCAAGCTGCCTTGAAGAGAAAATGTGAAACAACTCTTTGGTCTGACTCTACTACCGCGCTAAGTTGGATAAAGAGAGAAATTGAGTGGAGAGTTTTCGTGAGAAACCGAGTCAGAGAAATACAGGCCACTACCAATTTGAACGATTGGAGGTTCGTTCCTAGTCAGTTGAACCCGGCCGATCTTCTGTCTCGAGGTTGCCCTCCAAGCCAGTTTGTGCAAAGCAGATGGTGGGAGGGCCCCGAATGGTTGAAAAAACCTAAAGAATTCTGGCCCAATTCAGAGTTCTCGATAAATCCAAAAGAAATAAATGTTGAAGAAAACATTATGAAAACCAACATTAATTTGAACATCGATTATAAAGACTGGATACTGACAAGGAGGTCTAATTACTCTCTCAACATCAGGGTGATGTCCTATGTTTTAAGATTTTTAGGGAAACTTAAAAAACAGTCAACTGAAACAGGACCTTTGAAAGTTTCAGAATTAGACTTGGCAGAAAAAAGCTTATCCGAATGATTCAGGAGAAAGTCTCCATAGAGAAATCGAATGCAACCAAGAGACTTAAAGAAAAGTCTCTGCAAAGACCAATGGCAGCTTTGCCAGAAAACAGAATTGGACTGGGCAAACCCTTCCAAATTACAGGAGTTGATTTATTAGGCCCTCTTCATTCGAAAGAAGGTGGGAAAGTGTGGGTAGCCGCCTTTACTTGCGCCGTCTATCGCGCTATTCATCTGGAGTTGGTGAAGAGTTTAGAGACAGGAGTCTTCATGATGGCCCTCCATAGGTTTATTTGTCGGAGAGGGCGCCCCGAGAAAATATATAGCGACAATGGCACCAATTTCGCAAAACTTAATAGAATATTCAAGAGATTGGATTGGACTAGAATTGAAAGGGAAACCTCAATTAAAAGGATACAATGAATTTTTATCCCTCCTTCTGCTCCTTGGTGGGGAGGATTTTGGGAAAGAATGGTTAGGACAATAAAGGAAATGTTGATAAAGATGCTAGGTCACAGGAAGCTGAAATATGTACAACTGCAGACTGCCCTTTGTGAAATCGAATCTATCATTAATAATCGACCCCTCACTTATGTCTCTGAAGACGACAATGATCTAAAACCGTTAACTCTTAATGAGTTTTTACAAAATGGTCCAGAGTCTAGCTTTCCTGAATTTGAAAATTTAAAGCCAGAAATGTTGCACACTAGATACAGAGAGTTAGGTCAACTGAAGAGAGAATTGAAGCAGAGATTCTTAAAGGAATATTTAGGCGCGTTTGATTCAGAAATCCGAAAATATTGATAGAAGACAGTTGAAAGTAGGAGACGTTGTACTGATCGGGCAAGAAAATCTTAAAAGAATGTTTTGGACTAAAGGGCGAATAGTAAATCTCATACCAGGAAAAGATGGAATAGTGAGAGTGGCCCATGTTAAAACATCCACAGGAACCTTGATCAGGGCTCTACAACGCTTACACCCTCTTGAAATATCCTCGAATGTTGAGACGATTCAAAAGGACAATTCAAATACCGAATCCCAATCTGAAGCATTTTTAGGAAATAGGCCCAATATTGAACCAGGGACTCTAGAAATAGATATGGTAGGGTAATCAGAAAGCCTGCGAGGTATGACTCGAAGGACTAGTGAAAGTACCTGTAGGAAAAAAAAGTGTAATATGTGTATTCTTTTATGTGTATTTTATGTAATGTAATAGGCATATCTACTCTTGTGTGTATTGTGTATATATATGCTCTTTTGTCTTATACTTAATTTTGACTTCTTTCAGAGCAAAATTTTGTGGGAGAATGTTAAAACTATTTTATAGATCCTTTACTTTTGTACATAGAATGAAGGTCTTAGGTGAAGGGAGACAACGAGCAAGATATCGACATGGTCGGGGAAACTCCCAGCTGGAACCGACCGAGGGCAAAGGTCACCAGATGGCCCGGGGAGGCAAAAGTCAAGTGGAAATCTGGAATTTTGTTTGGTTGTTCTGCAGGCCCGGGACAGCCCGCCATGTGGCGTCTTCCTTTTTTTTTTCTCTTAGTTAGTTAGAAGCAGCGGACCAGGCGGGGCAGACGCGCCTGAGGAGTATCCCACAAGCAGCGTCTTGTGGACGGAAAGACGTCTGAGAAGTATCCTACAAGCAGCGTCTTGTGGACGGAAAGAACGTCTTGGAGTATCCCACAAGCAGCGTCTTGTGGACGGAAAGGACGTCTTGGAGTATCCCACAAGCAGAGTCTCGTGGACGGAAAGGACACGGAAAGGACGCTTTGGACATCGCACGAGCCGCGACAAAGTGGAACCAAGCTAAGCCAGCGACGGTGCTGCACCCGAGGTACTGTGTGAACACAACGCTGGACATTCCCCCTGACACTTATTTTTTATCTCCCTTCCCTAAGACTACTTTAATTTTACTTTACTTTTTTTGCTTAACCTTTTTTATCTTGTTTTTTATGCATAATTCTTTATATATAAGTATAATTTTGCTTAACCTTGTTTCTTGTTTTTTATGCTTGATTCTTTACATCTATATATATAAAAATGAATGTATGTGTGTCTGTTTGTTTGTTTGTTTGTCCTTTATGCCTGACCAAACCACTCATTGGATCGCCATGAAACTTTGGGAAGTTATTTAGTATAGTACTGGGAAGGTTTCTAGCAAATAAAATTTTTGAAATAACTTTTCGCCTAGAAATAATCAAGATAAATATTCTAATTTATCTGTTATAATTCAACAATCTGCTCTAAATATTATCATGATGATACGATGATTTTGTAATGTAGAAAATTAGGAAAGACAAAATTCAGGATGACACGGCAATTTATTTGAGACAAGAATAATGATACAATTCAAAGGCAAGATACTATTCCTTTAACTTCCAATTACCGAGGGAACCAATTAATATTGATTTTATTCAACTTATCGAGTATTTTTCAAGGGACCGGGAAAAAATGTTCACTTTATCGAGAGATTCGTTAAACAAACCTTTACTCGGGTAAAACCCGGGCGAAGCCGGATACATCCATACAAGAATAATGATACAATTCCAAGGCAAGATACTATTCCTTTAACTTCAAATTACCGAGGGAACCAATTAATATTGATTTTATTCAACTTATCGAGTATTTTTCAAGGGACCGGGAAAAAAATGTTCACTTTATCGAGAGATTCGTTAGACAAACTTTTACTCGGGTAAAACCCGGGCGAAGCCGGGGTACGTCCGCTAGTATAAGTATATAATAGTTTTTAGCCCTTTTTGTTTTAATTTTTAAATAAAAACCTTTTGTTATACTGTGTTTTATGTGCATTTATTTCCCCCATTGTTTTTCCTTTCAATCGATCACCCTTTTTTTGTTTTTTAAACGAACACGCACAGATGTGTTAGGATTAAGTACTTTCTGTGTGTGCGGAACCTGGCTAAAAAATATAACTTTTATCAAAATCAATAAGCCATAAAAGCTTACACACCAAAATGGAACGTCCAAAGATTTGGCCAAGGAACTGAAAATCCCGTAATATTTCTGTACTTATTTATTTGGTTATATATTTGATATGCCATTCTGCGCTTTAAAAAACAAAATTTCCAATTTCCAAAGCAACAGCCCCATTTGAAATTCATCAGAATCTATGATTCTTTAAAATGATTATATAAAAAAAAATGTGTTATCTACTTATATAATTGCCTTATTCTGTCTGTGTGAAGTTCACTGTCTGAAGTTCACGGATAGATTTTGGTCAGTCATCAATTCTGTCATCGTTTTAAAAAATTAAAATATTAAAAAAAGATGCCGAAACCCGGGATCGAACCAGAGACCTTTAGATCTTCAGTCTAACGCTCTCCCAACTGAGCTATTTTGGCTTATTTTAGTTATTTCTATAGAAGCTTATATCTTTATAACTATGCATCTACTTATATAATTGCCTTATTCTGTCTGTGTGAAGTTCACTGTCTGAAGTTCACGGATAGATTTTGGTCAGTCATCAATTCTGTCATCGTTTTAAAAAATTAAAATATTAAAAAAAGATGCCGAAACCCGGGATCGAACCAGGGACCTTTAGATCTTCAGTCTAACGCTCTCCCAACTGAGCTATTTTGGCTTATTGTAGTTATTTCTATAGAAGCCTCTATCTTTATAATTATGCATATTATATAATTGCCTTATTCTGTCTGTGTGAAGTTCACTGTGTGAAATTCACGGATAGATTTTGGTCAGAATGGATAAAAAAAAAGTGTCAAGGGATGGGAATCGAACCCATGACCTTCCGCTTACCGGGCAGATGCCATGACCACTAGGCTACCCTGGACATATTTTTCCGTTCATAAAGTACAATACTTAAATGAAAATATGTTTCTTATCAATCAAAAATTTGAAAATAAACTTTTAAATTGGTAACATCAAGGAGATAGCCATTATAAAGCACTAATATTTGAATAAAAATAAATTTATATAAACGAATAGTATTTTAATTAAAACATTTTAAAAACACACAGTTTGGAACGGGACGTTTCACAAGAGTGACATCCATGGCGCCAATTTATAATTGTAACGAATAGTATTTGAATTAAAACGTTTTTAAAATATATACGCACTCGGGTAAAACCCGGGCGTTGCCCGGGCCATTCGTCTAGTTATTATTATTTCATATATTTTTATATAAACAGCTCTCTTCGCGTTTCTCAAAGTAATCCACCCTATGACAGATAATTTCTTCTGACCCTGGTTACTTTTATTTACATACCACATTTGAAAATATAAAACATGGTTATATTGTCATGTGTAGAAAATTAGGAAAGACAAACCTCAGGATAACTGGGCAATTTATTTAAGGCACAAAAACAAATTAGTATTTTAAATTACACAACACTCTTCCTTAAACTATTCCTGGGATGGTTCCCACCAAGCATTTCAAAGGTATTCCTTGGTAGGGGTTTTGGTAACATATCAGCAATCTGTTCTTGTGTTGAGCAATATGACAGGTTCACTTTATCCTTGCCATGACCTTTTACATAATCTTACATCTATATTGCTTAGTCTTTCTACTTAAATAGCCAGTTTGTAAGAGTAATATAACATCTTTTGATTTTCCACTTTAAACTCTGCTTGTATAGTGTAATGTATTCTTACCTTTGCAACATTGTTTGTTGTTGGAAATAGATTTATCTGCTAATGAATTACCTCGAAAGTACTTTGTATTAGTCTTATCCTTAAATAAATATAATATTTTCTAAAACACAATGTCTGATTATTGAAATTAAAACGATCGTGTATATTTTCATACTTGGCAAGTCGGCGTTATCGTACAGAGAGACCAAGTCGTTCAGAAAAATTATTAAGAAATATAAGGTGTGTTCCAATTTTATTTAAGGAATTAATTTCTTCTTCAAGCGTTCCATATAAGAAATCATTTTTCAAAAGTTTTTGAATTGGGATTCATTTGTGCTATTAGTGACAGACAGTCCATAACAGAATTCAGAGTCCAATAGTTGCCTATTCAATCTCTCTGTTCTAAATCTAGCACGACAAGCCTTGCCTTGAATTCCCCCCTATCTTCAATTTTTAATATTGTTTTTGAAATGAGGATTTTCTTGTGGTGTGTTTCCTCAGGTTTAACAGACTCCCATGTATTGTTTTTTCTAAGAGAGTTCTTCTCTTCCTCAATGACTTTCCTACAAATTTCTTTATCTATTCCTGATGAGGATTCATTAATTCCTAATTAGATTATTGTCTTATTTTCAAAGCCGGTGTTGTATAAACTTCATTAGCTTATTGTCCTGAAGGTTTATTGCCGGTGTTGTATTAAAAAAACTTCACGGCCTTCTAGTCTTGAAGGTTTATTTATCTAAGCCTCTCTGTCCCTCAGGTTAAATATCTGCTTAGGTAAATCTTCCTTATCAGTAATTTGATTGTCACTATCAGCTTCAAGGTTTTTTTTTTTGTGAAGATTCTCAAACCAGCATTCACAGTTTGCATTCTCCCAGCGAATAACCTCATAATCTGTAGGGCTCCTGTATATCTTTTAAACAAATATTTCTTGCTGCGATATTCTAGCTTATTAAACACTCTCATTAACATTTGAAATAAGTATTTTTTGCGCCCTGACATCTTTTAAAGTCCACTTTTTCCTTATCGGCATCATTAATTCTATCCTGGAAATCGCTCTTTGAATATTTTCCATTTACTCTTTCTATTAAACTATATCAGTTTGGCTCTTTGTGATTATTAAAAACTTTCATAATATTTTTATTCTTCAACTGAGATGCTGTCTTCTGAATTCATTTTTCAATTTAAAGTATTTTATATAGTTTTATGTCATTTTTATTTTTAAAAAACGTGATTTACATCATATTAAGTTTAGGATTCAAAGTTTAATGTCATTTTTAATTTAAGGCTTTGAAAAAATTTTCATGCAACTCTTAACTGGGTATCTCGCTGCGTTTTTAACTTTCTCTCATTAGCCTTAATGCTTACAAACAAACTTTTTTTAATGTTTCAAGTTATTTTAGGTTTTATAACCATGTACCAGCTACCATTTGTCTATTAATTTTTGTGATCAAGTGGTTTTATTTCAAAGAGAACATAATTTTTATAACAAAAGGAGTCAAATAAATAGTAAAGTTGAAGACTACAAACATTTTCCAGCCGAATGACAACAAGTTTTGTCGAAGGTAAATAAACAATGTAAGGGAAATCATCTTTTTATAGTTAGTCACACATATATAGAAACTTAATATTAAAAATGGCATATCCTGACCAGGAGCACATGTGCTTTACAGAAGGCAGAGCGCCATCTGGTAGAACAGAAATCAACTAAACATTGATTTTAGCCTGTTCCCTGATATTTGGCCAACCCAATTTCTTGATAAATCAAGAAAAGCCATCCACGAACGCGTTTCGCGCTTTTTGGCGCTCGTCAGCGTGGAGTAGGCTGAACCATTGAGACCAAAAAATATTTTTTGATCCCAATGGCCGCCTGAAAAACCAAGAAATGGGTATTTAAGGCCAAACTTGCGTAAATACGCTTAGCACATTAAAAAACGAAATAAAAAAAAATTAAAAATAAAAAGATCAGGTGTTGAAATCAATATTAAAAATGGCATATCCTGACCAGGAGCATGTGCTTTACAGAAGGCAGAGCGCCATCTGGTGGAACAGAAATCAACTAAACATTGATTTAGCCTGTTCCCTGATATTTGGCCAACCCAATTTCGCGCTTTTCGTGGATAGCTTTTCTTGATTTATCAAGAAATTGGGTTGGCCAAATATCAGGGAACAGGCTAAATCAATGTTTAGTTGATTTCTGTTCCACCAGATGGCGCTCTGCCTTCTGTAAAGCACATGTGCTCCTGGTCAGGATATGCCATTTTTAATATTGATTTCAACACCTGATCTTTTTTTTTTTTTCTTTCGTTTTTTAATGTGCTAAGCGTATTTACGCAAGTTTGGCCTTAAATACCCATTTCTTGGTTTTTCAGGAGGTCATTGGGATCAAAAAATATTTTTTGGTCTCAATGGTTCAGCCTACTCCACGCTGACGAGCGCCAAAAAGCGCGAAACGCGTTCGTGGATGGCTTTTCTTGATTTATCAAGAAATTGGGTTGGCCAAATATCAGGGAACAGGCTAAATCAATGTTTAGTTGATTTCTGTTCCACCAGATGGCGCTCTGCCTTCTGTAAAGCACATGTGCTCCTGGTCAGGATATGCCATTTTTAATATTGATTTCAACACCTGATCTTTTTATTTTTTATTTTTTTCTTTCGTTTTTTAATATAGAAACTTAAAAATTATATTTCTCTCTTTTTTTTTATAAAAGAAGTGTCACACAGGAATAGCATTTTGTACTACATGTAAGTTTTATCGGGATTCAGAATAAGAAATTCAATCACTGTTGGTTAGAAAAAATGTTATTTATCAATTTATGTACATGTAAATTATCATATTTTTTTTAGCCATGCAAAAATATAGCAAGCTAAATGTTGTACATATATTAATTATTTGTTACCACAGAGTGTGTGTAAGGTCACAGGTAAATAGGCGCTAACTGAAATAAAAAAAAGTTCCTTTGTTTAATATTAGTTTCCCTTTTTTATATTTTGTTCTCTCTCTTGTAAAAAAAAATCAATAAATATAATGTTCAATTAATAATTTTGGAATCAGTTTCATTAACAAATATTCTAAGCAAAGTCAACACTAAACATATTTAGTATTATTCCTGTTCAAAACATTTACTCATTTTTTATTTACATTTCATAGAGTAATTTAGTTTTTTTTTTAAATTTAATTAGAGAAAATTTAAAATATATGCCAATATTATATTATAATATCTACAAGATTTTTTCCAGCTGCTACACTACACAACAATTGTAGTATTTAGATGTGTTATCTTCAGTCAACAACAAGTAGCTGAGAGCTGACACTGGTGACGCGACCATAGGTACTTTTGGGCCAACCGACGCTGGCAACACTGCCCCCGCTGCCCCCCGCGCATGCGCGAGCAAAAAAAGAATACCTCGCCATCTCCGGTAAACAAAAGCTGTCTCGACGCCATTGTTTGGTTTTGACAGGCCTGAAAAAGAACTATCTCTCATAAATTTTAATAATTGTTTTGAATAATATTTGTATTAATATTAATTTGTGTGATTTTTAAATAAATATTTCTTTCAATAAGTATTAAATTATTCATCACTGTTTTCTACTTTAGGCCTCGCCATCCAGCGTTGTGACTCAATTCTTCTGATCACTGCAACAAAGATATTGATTTATCAATTTATAATTTTCAAGTCAGTTTCCAGCATTACTGTAAAGCTAGGAGCTTTTAGTTCAGGTTAAGCCATCGGGACCTCGTATTGTCTTTTTTTC